CTTCGCCGCAGGTGGAAGCTTCGCCCCCAGCGGTGACCTCAACTTCTCCGTCCCCGTGGAGGGCAAGTACGTGTCCTGGCCGCAGACGGGTGCCATCCTCAAGAGTGCCCCCCACCCCGAGGGCGCGAAGCTGCTGCACAACTTCATCCTGTCCGAGGATTTCCAGAAGAGTTCTGGGGGCTGGTCTGTCCGCCGAGACGTTAACGCTCCTGACGGCTATCCCGACCTTTGGACCAACAATGCGACGAACCCGGCGGAGTTTGCTCGATTCATGGCTGACCGGGCTCTGGTGGAAAGACTGCGGTTCTACTTTGAGGCTAGAATTGGTTCTGCTCAAGGCCTTGATCCTATCATCGATGGCATCTAGTGGTTATGTTGAGCATGTAGAAATTAGAAAATCAAACATATAGGCTGAAGAAGTCGATATTACTCTATATTATCATGTATTGGATATTAGTGTTGTGAAATTCTCCTGTCCAGTGTAGCGATTCGTTTTGATATTTGCCATGGCCCGTGATGTATGGAACGTAGGGGGCTTTTTTAGAACTACGTCCGCCATGCTGGATCCGAGCTCGAGAACACGCATAGAACGTCGAAAAAAGGCAGTTATCTGGCGGCTCGGAACGTGTCTGGAAAGCTTATATATGTTGTCAAGGCACGCACCCTACCGAAGCATCTGCTGCTGCCGTCAAGCGCTTCATCTTCATGTTGCCGTACAGTGCCAGAGGACAGAAGATGTTGGTCCCTACACTGTATCAATTCGACCGAGCGCGCTGTATTGGAGCTCCTCAGTCGCTACAGCTTAGTGGTCTTGTCCGCTACAAATTTGTAATTGGGGGAGAAGTCCACTAGTCTATGGCGTAATCAGTTCTGCCTTGGATGCACTGTGCTATGATGCTTGATGTTGTATCCTATCCATTTGTTGTTTATCCTGTGTATCCTTTTTTTTCGCTCTAGCATCTCATGTATTTGTAGGAGTTGAAATACAGTATAGGTCAGAATGAAAGAAAAGGGAAAAGATTCGACTCGTTATTACAAATGCGCGGATTGACAGCTGATGGACCCTCCAATAGGTGAAGCCCTATCACTCCTCCAAAGTTCAAACTAGGCTCAATATCAACGAATGCATAAATAGTTGGAGTGCTGGTGAGTTTATATCTCGCGCTCAGTAAATCAGCAGGCCAAATGCTCCAAATATCTCACTTATTCACCGCTTCGATGGAAGATCGCACAATTCTGGTGCACGCCCACGTGACCAAGAGCCGGTCGCTATTACGTGCTCGATAAGAGAAACGCAATCTGCAACCGTATCACGCAATGCGAATACCTGAACTAGATAAAGCGAGCACCGGTCTTCATCTCTGCTCCGAACCCCCTGAAAATATTCCCGCTGAAGCAGTTTCTAGAACTTGGCCAGTAATAAAAAGGATCAAAGTTATCACCATGTCTACCAAGGCCAGTCGAGTGGCCGTCATCGGTGCTGGCCCTAGCGGCGCCATTGCAACCGATGCTCTCGCAAAGGAAGGAGTTTTTCAAACTATTCGCGTTTTCGAGAGGAGATCCGGCATCGGAGGTACATGGTAAGTCCAGCAACTCAAGCTTCTGTGAATATATCAATATTAACTCGGCTAAGGTTCCCCACGCCTCACCTGCCAGTTGGAGTCTCGTCGCTTAGCGACGTGATATCCGGGAACGCAGATGCGGCAGTCTCTATCCCCACACAACTCCCTGCTGTTACTCCGGTATCAGAGGCGGTGAACAGCCACCAGCATCGGTTCTCTGATACCGCCATACACGAGAACCTTCACAGCAATATCGTTCCTTCTCTCATGAGTTTTACACAGGAACCACTCCCCGACACATTGTCTGAGAAAACGCTAGAAGAGTATGGCCCGGGTGCCCCTTTTCGGCACCATTCAACCATTCGTGGCTGGATTGAAGGCATCTTCTCTCGCGGGGGTTACGAGAAGCTGCTTGAATTAGATACCACGGTAGAGAGGGCCGAGAAGGTCAACGGCGAGTGGATCCTGACCCTCCGGAAGATTGTGAACGGCCGCAATTACTGGTGGCGTGAGGCATTCGATGCTCTGGTTGTGTCGACTGGACACTACAATGTACCTTGGTTCCCAGATCTACCAGGCTTGGTGGAGTTTGACAAGGCCTTCCCGGGCTCTATCCTCCACAGCAAGCACTATCGGAAAGCCGAAAGATTCAAGGGAAAGGTAAGAGAGCCCCCTCTTACTTTAAATGTTGTCCGTTGCTCACTGAAAATTTGTAGAGGGTTGTTGTCGTGGGCGCCTCGGTATCTTCGAGCGAGATCGCGCACGAGATCCTGGATGCCGTGCAAGGGCCGGTCACGGTGGCGATCCGCGGGGAACCCATCCCGGCTTTCGGGTGGGAACCGTTCTTGCATCCCAAAATCGAGGTGAGAAAGGGCATAAGCAAACTCGATCCAATCACAGGTGATGTCCACTTCACCGATGGATCAAGTCTGAGCAAGGTCGACCATGTGATATTTGGGACCGGATACACATTCAGCGTGCCATTCCTCCCCGAAGTTCAAAAGCGAGTTCTCGGAGCTTACCGTCGTCTTCCTGGAGTGTACCAGCACACCTGGAACATCGAAGACCCGTCACTGACGTTTGTCGGCATGGTAAGTGCTTTCGTAGTTGTGGTCCGGGAGTTTTCGAGACTGATAATCTAATCTTTTAGCTTGGCGGAGGCTTTACATTTCGAGCATACGAGTGGCAAGCCGTGGCTGTAGCGCGGCACCTTGCTGGGCGAGCCAAACCACTGCCACCTATCCCTGAGCAGCTTGAATGGGAACGAAAACGGGTAGAGGAGAAGAAAGGAGGAAAGGATTACTACAGCATCGCACCTAATTATGAGGAGTACTTCGAATTTCTCAGAGGTATTGCAGGAGACCCTGCTCCTGGGACAAACGGACGAAAACTACCTGAATTTGACCCTGAGTGGCTCAAGATTTGGCAGGGCATGCCGCAAGTAAAGATCGACGGATGGAAGAGAAAGAGGCTCGCAGCCGAGAAGGAGGCGGGAATTCCCAAGTCTAAGCTGTAGCATAGAGAAGCGCAAGGCTAGTTTCGCATGATCGCTAGCCTTTCTGCAATTATAGAAACGAACACACTCAATGCGTCATGTGAGAGACGGAACTTTACCAGCAATAATAGGAAGGGAAATTATTTTTGACAAAGCTACGGTGTCGCTTCCTCATATCTCCAGTCCTCTTAGGCCAGTCCGCGATTTGCTTTGTCATTGCAAGTTCACTTACCTCTCTCCCTATAATCTTCGGTTTGATATCAATGTGCCATACTTTAGCGGGTATCCTGCGGATTTCGCCATATAGCCGTCTTTTCTGGCCCTTGGTTTGAGTCCCTTTCGCCGAGGTGGCCACTATGGGCGAGAAAAGAAGTATGAAGAGAGAAATTGCAAGAGGGTGAGCTAAGACTCTCAAAGAAATGATTCGTCTAAAGAAATTTCAAGGTATGACGAACATCCTTAGGGAAGGAGAGCAGATTTCAGCGAGGACTTTCATTACAAGAACAGACTGATGGTTCAGATCACGAGCTTTCAGTACCTCACTCCCGAGGAGTTCATCACCTAAATCCACACCATGTGTCACTATAGTTCCTATTATTAAGGGCTTCGTTATGAGCTTTTCAGAGCTCTGGGACGATGCGGCGTCAAATTTCTATCTGGTATGATTCGCGTATCAGGTATCTGGCTTCCGGCATGTTATCGGTACCTTGTGGGAAGTAAATGACAAGTCGTGTGTTGACGCTGCCTCCATGACGTACAAGTGGATGCAGGACCAAAAGATGACAGACGAGTGTATTAGTGAAGGCCTTCATCGTGCAATAGTAACAATTCGGGGGTCATGGGTTTTGGAAAGTGAGACGAGGACGGCTCATCGAATGGCAACTTTGAAAGAAAATAACTACTCAAGGGACGCGCCCCTAGAACATTCAAGTCATGAAACAGCAGGGGGGCCGAGGGATGTGGATTTAATGGAGGATTTACCGCTGCACTGGGTTCCTTATGTTCACTTTGGGATTTAGGATGCTTATCATTAGCTGATCGAGTCTATTCCCAGGTATCAAGCTTGCTTCATCTTTTCTTAGCCACGGCAATGAGCGAGTTTTGAATGACCGAAACTGGGCAGGAAGTATATATGTTTCTAGGAGTGAGAACGATAACCCATAATGTTGCTTTTAAACTTCCACAAGATATCACATGGAAATTCAGATTTACTATAATATCTCTACCTTACTGGAGGCGTTGCGGCAAATAGAATATCCTCGAAGGTTCTTCCACCTCGGTTGAATAGACCACGCTTGCCTCCTTAAGTTTGGTCACCATTAACAGAGGCAGCCAATTGCTTTTGCTACCATGCCCAAGGCAGGTCGCTGGCTGCCTCAATGATAAGTATTCAGATGGACTACCCAAGCTACCGTAGCACTAACAGACGCTAAATCGTACAGTTGTGGCTGGTTGGCTTGGTTGCCGCGTCCGCAAAAGAAGCCCCTTTTAGCAATGATCCTCGGTTGATACACACGTCACATTTGCACCAGGCTGTCCCCCTCGGCGCGATTAGAGTCTGGCTACGGGATGGCTTCCCAAGAAGTATCCGTAGGGCTTTTCATTAGCGGGGATGGCTTCTCCTCTCCAAAGTACCATTTACGGTGGCGTCATGGCCACTCGCTAACAAACTCTACTCACAAGCCAAGGCAATGCCCTACACAAATATAACATACACGTATCTGCTGTCCAAATCCTGGACCAGTCTGGGCCTTCTGGGCACTTTCCCCGTATGGAAGCATTCCTAATCATCCATTTATTCTCATTAGCCCCGCCTGCATGTGCCGTGATCGACGTATTCTCTGCCACCCTAGAATGCTGATCCATGATTACTTCGACCTAAGACTTCGGAATACATGGAAAAGGAGATGTAAACACGCCGACGGACTCCATGACAACAAACAATGGTCATGAAAGGGGATGGCCCTATGGTCGTTGGCCTGATGTGGTCGATGGCCGTTCTCTGTACCCTCTTCACGGTCCTTCGAACCTACACTCGAACTGTTATCGTCAAGTCTTTTGGAGCAGATGACATTGTTTTCATAGTCGCCTGCGTGGGTTATTCCCTCACATCCATTTAGCGATTGTATTCAAATGGGAGAGATGACTGTCCAGCTAATCACAATTGCCGTCTAGTTGATGTTCATCATGTATACCATATTTCTTACAATCAGTGCCTCGATCGGCTTCGGTCAGAATATGTGGGAGATTCCAGATGTCGATGTCCCTCCGACGGTGCTCTACTCGGCAATCGGACAGACCTTCTCCATCTTTGGCATGGCCATTGCTAAATGGTCGCTCGGCCTGTTTCTGCTCCGTCTCGTCTGTACCACGATGCACAAGATCGCCATTTGGCTCCCCCTCGTTCTGTGCTTCCTTACATCCGTTCTCTGTGCTGCCTTCTTCTGGTTCGGCTGTGCGCCCATCGAGGCTGTATGGAATCGTGCTCTCCCTGGGTCTCACTGCAACGTGTTACCAAGAGTTCCCATGTACTATGTGTATGGCAGTAAGTAGAGTGCTTCGTCTCGCTCCTGGAAAGCGAATTCTAATGATCGTTGAAAACTTAGGTACCTTGGTTTTTACTGACTTCTACTTCGCGATATTCCCTTGGTTCTTCATTTGGAAATTGAATATGAAGAAGCGCGAGAAGATTGTGGTCCTATGCAGCATGAGCCTTGGTATTTTGTAAGTATATCCTGTCCGGTCTAGTCACCAGCCAGTAATAACTGAATCTCGTTCAGTGCGGCAGCATTCGGGATCTTACGGTGTAGCCAAATCTCCGGGTTGACGAGTCCAAACTTCCTCAAAGCCGCCGTGCGGATTATTCTCTTCGCTGCGGCCGAGCAATGCGTCACGATGATCTGTATCGGAATTCCTGTCTGCCGTCCCCTCTACCGAGAATACCTCAATAGGCTGGCGTCGCGCGACTCGAGCAACTGCAATCAAACGTGCTGAACCCATCAACCGGTGGCCCTTCGCTCGATGGGGGGCGAAACCAGATCAAGGGGAGTCACTTGGAATAGGTCGACAATCCGAGACTGCCACCTTCCAACAACGGGAGAACTGATCCGGCATACATCAACGTCCGAGGCAGGCTTCTATGCAGATGAGAATCGCAGCGACGAAGAGGTTTTCGCCTGTGAACAAAGGAGAAGCTCCAGAGCCGCCGTGGACCCTGAAAAGGGGGCCATCAGAGGGACGGAAGAATTCGAAGTAGCCGACACTACTAAGGCTTAGCCCAGATATTGGACATGCACAATGCACATACATTACGTGGTGATTGTAACGAGGAATGCCGTCATAGATATATAAATCGTTTGAAGAAAGAGAGAGAAATTTCTCGCCGCACCGTTCGTCAAAAAGACTGCTATTTGCGTATGGATCGAGTCAAATAACCCGGAGACATACCACGGTTCAAATAACATGCATACATTATTATCATGATGCCGTGGGATTTGGGTCTGGAGACAGGTTTATCTTGCGAAACCCCGAAAATTGGAAAGGGTCAGAAACAGGGGCCTAAATCTACCGCGGCTGCCGGCTTAATCCGAACGATGAGAGAGAGTCCGAGTGTCAATTTTTCTAGTAAGATGAGCATGCAACTCTTACCAACCTACTACATAAGCTGCATCTTCTTCTTCACCGGCAGGCGTCGACTTTGGCCTGCGGACTTGGCGTAACTCCAATCCCATCGCCAACCTTTCCGCTTATGGCACCTTTCACGAGATTAGCGGGTGCTAAATATATCTCACAGTCAATGCCAGAATGCTTATTCCATTTTGGGCAGGTTTCGCTAGCGCTGATGGCGGCCGGAAATAAGTATCTGTGATGGATCATCGTGTTACATGCGCGACGGACAAAGGCCATACCGGTTTTACAAGCCAGCAGGACTTTGTAGGCTCTATGTGTTTATTTGGAAGACTCATATAAAAGGTACGGAGAGGAACGACCATTTGGTGATATGAATCAAGTTGAACCCTCAGCCAGAATTTCACATTAGATTCACATTAAATTCGTTGTTTCAAAGCCCCAAACCATTCCCAGCCTAAGCACTCCAAAATGAGGTTCGCCGTTCTGTCTGCAGTGGCTTCTCTGGCCATCGTTAGTCCTACAATGGCCCAGACTCCTCCCGGATTCTCGCCTGCAACGACCAAGACCTTCAACGTCAAGTTTGGAAACACTGCCGTCACTGCTGGCAATGCTATCAAGCTCCAAGGTAAATCTGCCACGATATCAAAATAAGTGAAGACTTCAAGACTAATAATGAGTGCCGCATGGCAAATAGACACTGCTGTTGCACCCAGCATCGACTTTGGTGATGTCGCGGGCAACTCGGCTCATGTTGTCACCATGCTGGATCTCGATGCTCCTATGGGCGACGCGGATCGGTCCTACTCTCCTCTCCTGCACTGGATGGCTTCCATACCTTCTGGGGACAAAAGCAGTGCCACGGCCACGGATGTAGCCCCATATGCCGGCCCCCAGCCTCCTGTTGGTTACGGCCCGCACCGATATGTCCTCCTGCTTTTGACCAATCCCTCAGCGGAATTTCACTTGCCCTCCGGTTTCGAGAACCAGACCTACTCGGATGTCACATCCCGCCTTCAGTTTCCCCTTGAAAAGTTCATCGCTGCGGGGAACTTTCAGGTCACTGCTGCCAACTGGTTCACGACTGAGAACACCACTGCCACATCTACCAATTCCACCGGTCCCACCAACTCCAGCACCACTAGCACCAGCGCCCCTGTGACGGCCAGGGCCTCTAGTCTCCAGGCCTCTGTTGCCGGTGTTCTTTTGGCTCTCATGAGTCTCCAGGTCTTCTATCTTTAAGAGATTGAAACATGCTGGCCAAGGAAGACAGCAACACTCTTGCTCCGTGTTGGGCATATTCGCAACAGTGGAAGTCGGTAGTTTTAGTTGGGGAGATTTCCGCAGTAGTTTTAGTGACACAATGTGTCTAAATACATTCTATAATATTAAGCTGTCTTCTTTTGCGGATGACTGAGGATTGACTGATCTGATGGCGACTATGCTCAGACCCGTGAAAGTAGCATCTTGCAACCAGCCAGACAGGTACCGAAACGCAGCTCCGCGCTGGCGAGGACTGGTGCTGAACCTCGCCACTAATGTGAGCGGGAAGAACATGCGCAGGCACGCACAGCCGATGTTGCGTGTTGCGAGGAAGGCGGAACACCGTAGAATTTCGTCGCATGGCTCCGTTATGTTCGATTCAACGTCCATGCGAAGTACTGCTAGGAGCAGCCGCGCCGTGGAAAAGTAGGCGATGACAAAAGATGTGTACGCATCACGGTAGCACGGCTCGTCATTCTCCAGTGTCCATTGTAGGCAGACCCCAGCGGATCTTGCTTCTTCATTGTATTCTTCCCATAGGCCATTGATTCGTTGTTCGATATCAGGATCGCTCTTGATGAGGCCATCATAATCGGGGGTTCCATTCCGCGTAGCGAAGAAATCTGCGAGGTCGAAGAGATCTATCATGAAGCGTGTTGAGATGTCTGCTGTTTGATGATACCGCGAGCGGCCCAGCGCATTCCATCGCCGTGCTTCTGGTGCCGAAGTCATGTACTGGGTAGGGTATGCTACCATTACGAATAACTAGCCACGGTGTCAACTTGGGGTTAAAGAGTCGTATCGTTCTGATGGAGACGGGAACTGACAGTTTGGAATTGAAGGTGTACCGCAGCTTGATCAATAACGGGAACTCCCAGAGTATGATCCTCCTGCATCAGGCCGAGAATCCGCCAAGCAGCAGCCAGATGTGTGGCGTAGGCGGTCGTCGTCGTGGGGTGGATGGCCTCAAAGATGGAAAGAATGACGGCCGTGCAAACAATGGCCACCTGTTCCAATGGTTTTGTAGGTGGCGATGGCGATGATGAAGAAGAAGAAGAACAGGATGATTCAAACCGGCCCAAGGAGAGAGCCTTGAAGAGCCGTTGGAGGGCTATGCCATACATGCGGCACGCCTCTCTGGTGGCCGGACGGTGCTTTGTGACGGCACCACAATGGGCAAGTGACGTGGCCTGGATAGAAAGGAGCAGCGCCGACGCTGCGGAATCTTGACCGACGCCTTTGGTGTGGGCTTGGACAATCCATGACTCCTTGGACGGCTTCTGGCTCTGGTCACTGATAAAGTTGAAAAACTGGCCAGTGAATGCGACGGATTCGATGGCCCTTGATGAAGGTTGACGTGGAAGATCATCAGCCTTTGAAGAAATTGGACCGCTGCTCCCTGAAATACCGGAGACACGGATGCGCCGACTTCTGGAGACAACCGAATTGGTTTGATTGACAATCAATGGGCCGTCGATAGGGCCGGAACAGATTCGCCCAGCTCTGAGGCAGTTGTTGCAGGATGGCTGCCCAAGATCACAGCCTATCCGGCGCTTTTTGCACGCCTCACAGGCACGACTCCTTCGCGGCATGTTGTGCGGAATGTGTATCAAGTAATATAATCGGGTTAAAATAGCCTCTGTTTGCCATGCTCATATCAATTGATGAGTGTTGGGATGATGGTTTCATTATCGTGTGAGATCGATGAACAGTGGAGGTTTAGATTAAATTAAGGAACATTCAGTGGGCAGCTTAAAGCGCTGGTTTGATTAGTCATTACAATCATTCATTCATTGATCGTTGAATTCATTCACAGGATTGCTGGATCAACACCACCGGTTGAATAAACACCAAGATCAATCCACGAATGTTGAGAACAAGCTTCTTACCGAATACTTCTCATCAATGTTTAGGCGCTTAATTAAACACGTCGGGGAGAAGCGTTCATTCTCTGCTCTCCCCCAGTGCACCCGGACCAGTTATGGGATGGTAATCATCAGGCTCTCCTTACCTTAGATAAGCCTCCAGCCAAAGAAGATCGATTCTTACATGGATAAAGCAGCAAATGTGCCTGTCAGATGAGTCTTGTCTTGAGGCTACAGAACTGCAGGATGTCTCGATCACCCAAAGTTTGAATAGTTGCACCATCTGCTGATCGTCAGAATGCTGACAAATCCAGTAACCAAAACCACGTCACCTGAATTGAGAATTCATCTCACTACCACGATCGACGCACATAGCAACACGTTCATCGTCCGCTTTCCGTTGAGGCTGAACCGCACGAACGAATTAAAGCACCCATGACTGCCGCGAACGGAGTGCCAGTCAACCTCACATCGAGATGGAACATCAATACGCGCCGCTCGCCTTCAGCACCAGCTGCAGCAAAGTCATCAGTACGGAAACTCAACGCGTCCTGTAATGGCTGCCGAAAATCAAGACTCAAGTGTTCCGGAGGCCACCCATGTCAACGCTGTATGGCATCGCCCACTCCATGCGCCTGCATTTATAGCATCTCGCAGCGTCGAGGGAAGCACAAAGCAAATGAACCAGCGAGCCAGCATACCTCTGCAATCCCCGATTTAGGGGCAATGCCCCTGTTTCCCCAACCTGAAGATTGGACTGTATCACCAGGCCTCATGTGGAATGGCCCGGACATGTTGAGTATTGAGGTGTGTTTTATCCTACAGGTCTGGGATCTCGTCTAAGCTAACACTACTCGCTGCGATTGAGACTGAACAGCATAACTTGGACCAGACTTTCTCGTCCAACCACTTGGACTATCAACTCAGAAATTCACCTTCTTTAAGTGATTTTCTTGACTCGATAGAGTCTCCCGGCCCTCCACCATCCACCAATGTTGCCGACCGAGGAAAATGCGTCGAATCGTGTTTCCTTCCCGTTCACAAGATAACCAGCGAGCTTGTGGGAATAGAGGCAGACTCGTCGCGGAACTCGTTAGAAAATTTGCTCAGAATGCTCGACCAGTCGATCATCTATGCTGGCAAATATCTCGCATGTCTCAACTGCGATCCCGGGTGTCCCAGGATAATGAATTTGTCATTTCTTCACCAGCGCCAAGTCACTCTGCTCAGCAATATTGCCAAGGATCCAGCCGCCTTCATACATGAACAAGCGCCCCGTGTGACCTTGGGAGAGTACCAGGCTTCACGGGAAGATGATGCCACGCTCAAGCGCATGTTGCTTTTGCGGGTTGCGCGGGATATTCTCAAGTCCGTGAATGAATGCAATGACAGATCAAGAGAATTTGAGAAGAGTTTCAAGGAGGGCACCCTAGACTTGGGAGATATTGGAAAATTAAACTTGCGGTGGCTGTTGGACATTGCAGAGAATTTGACAAAAAGACTCAACTGCATCAGGTCTCTATTAGAAAACAACCAATGGGCCTTGGATTCTACTAGTACATAAGATTAACCAATCTCAAGGTATACGGATGAGAGTTCAAGTATAAAGTTAAAAACAGAATAAAAGATGCCAAACCCGACATCCGAACACAATGAATACACCATCTCAAGGTTTAGCGAGCTAAATTACATGTTTTGAGCATAAATTAAATCCGATGTTGATAAATTCCTGGGAGTATTTCCCAGGCATTCGACGAAGCCTTCGCCTTTCGACCATGTCTCGGGCGTCTGACATATGACATGATCAAGTAGGTTGATTTATGATATCACCCCTAATCAAATTTGACATCATATCTCTTGCGTAAGGCTTCGCCGTACCTCCAGAATAAAAGCGGCCCTATTGATACGAGAATGGCAATAAACCCAAGGAGGGAATTTCCCTTTTGTCATAGGTCAGCACACTTACTTTTGCAACTCGATAATGAGCACTTACCCAACCGTATCCCAGTGCCTGGTACAGCGGTAGCCCAGCGATGGGGAGACAGCCCCCCACGATGCTTCGAACCACGCTTGTTGCTGCCAAAGCGCTTGCTGCGTACGTCGTAAAAGCGTCGATCATGTAAATCTGAGTTGGAAGCTACCTCGGTCAGAATTTCAAAGTCTAACGTATGTCAGTCCAGCCACTCACGAAGGAGAAAATCAATCCCGCGCCCGTGAAGCCGGTGAAAATGATCGGTACTATCCAATGCGTTTTGTACTGTGCGGTCCAGCCGTAGACGAATAAACCTATTGGGAGCAATGGAATGCCGAGAACAATGGGCAGCAAGCGATATCTGTGTCAAAATGTCAGTGAATATTCCTCCGCCCGCGACCAAGAGCGGATGAGACTTACTCAGGCTTCGTCCGGCCATGCTTTTTAGTCAGCTTGTCCTGAACCCAGTCACTCATCCACGACAAGAGGATCAGGGCCAGAACACATCCAACTCCGAGGCCAAGGAATGCTAGGCCTAGGATGTCAATACCAAACCCATACTGTTCTGGAAATACTGTCGAGAAGGTTGTGAAGAGTAGATACAGGTATCCGTATATGAGGGCGAGGTATAAGGAAAGACCAGCAACGATTGGGCTGTGAATTAGCATCCTCATTGGCCTAGTGAGAGACCGTAACAGGACGGTCTTGAAATGCGGTTTTTGTTCCTCGGATATCTCATCAGATGGCCGTAAACCTTTTTTCACCATCTTCTTTTGGATGGTTGGATGATGGCTCTCCGAGAGAAAGAAGAAACTCAGTATAGAAATGACTCCCTTCTGAAGCCATGAGTTTAGGTCAATAATTGCACTGTGAATCCAAAGGGAGGGGGGGGGGGGGGGGGGGCACTGCTATCCTTACCAGAATCGCCATGATCCAGAACACCCATCTCCAGCCAATGGCCTTCGCAACGAAGCCGCCAATTACAGGCCTTGAATATTGTGTGAGTGTAGCTCGAAGATCCTTCATGCTGAGTTTAGAGAACATACCCAATTACCGGACCAAGAAATATACCGGTGAAGAAAATGGACATGACAAACCCTCTCCTTGCAAGAGGGATCTGATCAGCGATGCTACCACCTCCGATGTTCATAGGTCCAGCCCCAAAGCTGCCCCCGATGAACCTAAACACGATAAATGATGCGATGTTCGGAGCAGCAGCGCTTGCAATTGTAAAGGCCAGCGTGGCGACGTTGGATATATTGAAGAGAATCCGTCTTCCATAAAGTTCCGACAGGGGCGACAAGATTATTGGACCGAAAGCAAAGCCGAGTACATAGATGGAAACAACCAGGGAGGTCACTGGTCTGCGCGTCTCATGGAAATCATCTCGTAACAGAGGGACACCAGGGACGATGATGGAGGATTCCAAGGGTCTACCAAGCAGTCAGTACTCCAAATACGTACATTTTGATAACATCGAGAACGTACGTAATGAATGCTAGAAGGGATACGATGCCCAGATTGACACATTTCTTGAGATTGCTCCAGTTTTGCGGATTGACAGCATCCTCTTCCCATGGAACAAGTTGGGCGTCTTGCCGTTTCTCAGATTCAGCTTCGGTAGACATTTTCTCGAGTTTGGGTACCCTTTTTCGTTTTGAAAGAGATACGGATGCTTTTCTTTCGATTGAAGAAAGCCAACTTGCCTCTTGATATACTACCGAGATTGTTATGTCGTTCCATGGGTTTGTGCTGAATTAGGAAATGCCCTTCGTCGCTGACCGAGAATTACCGCATTGGGAAGCTCTCCACCTCGCTCAGCGACATCGTCAAGGCCTTCAATGCCAAATTAGGAGGAGCATCGATATGCGACAATACCAGTCGTATCAGCGCTGACAAATTAGACATCATGCAAATTAGCCTCTCTTTTCCCCTAATAAATTATAAAAGGGGACAGGAACCTACCCTCTGCGGTCCGGTTTAACCACTAACCTCAAATCATCTCCCCGTTTCACCTTTTTGCAAGAACGAAATCATGTCTCAGATAAACGTCCAGCTTAAGGATGGCACAAACCTCCAGGTTTGGGTCTTTGGCAACGAAGATAAGACCAAGCCACTCTTGATATCGTTGCATGGCGGTCCAGGACTGTCCACTCATGAAACAGAAGTGCAGTATCAGTTCCTTGCAGAAAACTTCCGTGTTCTGATATACGATGCCCGAGGAAGTGGAAGGAGTGATCTGAAGGGCCCATTCACCGATGATCAATGGGCGTCTGATGTTGATGAGCTGCGGTAATAAGTTCTCGGTTTCCTACCTTCCCGCAAACGGCATTTACTGATCCGATACGATAGGGAATGGGCTCAAGCAGAGACATTCGTCCTCGCCGGGTATTCTTACGGAGGATTTGTCGCTCAAACATACGCTTTGAAGTATCAGAATCGGCTATCTGCCTTGATTCTACGCGATACCTGGGCTTTTGGTTATCGTGGGGGTCTTGGGGCGTTGCGCTCATGTCTGACGTCCCCCCGCATCACGCCGGATCCTGCTCGACAAGTGCGGCTGTGGTCCGGAACTTGTATTGATCGAGAGGACGCAGAAAGAGGACTGGCTGAAATCATGGCTATCTACACCCCCGAAAAGGAGGGACCACCTTCATCTGCCCCGCCTGCGTTTGATCTCGCGAATGATGGGCTAGGTCTTCACTGGGAAGTTCATAACGCTGCCTGGTCATTCAACCCTCCGAAATTTGATATCAGGGACAGACTGGGAAGTATAACCGTTCCTGTCCTTGTAGCTGTTGGGCGACACGATCCCATTTGTCCCGTGGACGAGGCGCTGGTCATCTCTAAGGGTGTCCAGAATAGCGAGCTTGTTATCTTCGAGAACTCGGGTCATAATCCCGCACAGGATGAGCCTGAAGAATTCCAGAAGGAAGTTTACAAGTTCTTGAGGAGTCATATACCGCTTGAGCTCAACTAACCTATCATGCCGACGGCTGAGATTGGCACATTCAGAAACATTTATGTATTTTAGTGTAGGGAAGACATATTTACGGGTAAATCTATCCATCATACACAATCTACGGCTCACATCTTCATTGAACCAAAAGAAGAAATATTGACACACGTAGGCTCCCAAAGATACTGATCCCCATTCCCCCAAGGTCTTCTTCCGTCATGTTCTTCTTCGCGTGGGCCATGTTCCCACATACCATTGTTGATTGTCGGCCACATGGGAATATAGCAACGTTCCTATACATTCTCGTCAGCTTGCGAATCCTGTTTTTTTAGTAGATGAACTCACGTCAGGCTTGCAGGGCCCTTTGCATCCAGCCCAAAGATCTGCCCATCCCAACCACGCCATAAGCTCCTCGACTACCGCCTTCCAATGACGTCGAGAATTTTCCAAGTCCAGTGTAACTTGTGCTTCGTTTTTGTTGAAATACAAGAGCCATTGCATTTCAACTCCCAGGCTAATTTCGAAGGTGGAATGGCAGATGCCATGTAGTGTCTCCCTAACAGCCCAAGAGAGATGTTGCTCCCCTTCATTCAAATGATCCTTCTCCTCGATGCCATACTGACTAGTGCATCTCGAAACAGCTTCTTTCGCTGATGGGGAGTCCATAGAAAAGTAATCGCGAAGACTGTCTTCAGTGTACGGTTTCGGCGGATATTCAAAAAACGACATGATCAACCAGTGTGTCAAAGATCGTACTGACCGCAGCCAGTCACGCTGTGATTGACCGGAGACTCCAACGAGCAAGTCACGCAGCATCCGCAAATTATCGCCGTAAAATACGACAATCTCCTCTGCAGTAAGTTGCCAGTCAACTCCGCTACAGGTTGTTTCCCCGCCAGCCCCATCGGTTCCAATAATAGCACGCAGGCCATTTTCAACCATGGCACGCATGTGCACACCATCATCTTCAGTCACGTTGCTGGTACGATGAAGTCGTCTTCGCCTCATAAGTTGTTCCAGCGCGTGCTTCCTGGCGTTCTCGTCATCAGGAACATCCCATTTTCCATCAGCAGAGATATTCAAGGCTCTTCTTTCAGCCTCGATACGGGCAGCATCCTGCCCCTGGAGGCTGGGATGGTAAAAAGTGAATAGACCACAAGTGTTCACTTTGGCACGAGCCTCTCCCCTCCCTGGCCCGGTCCCAATTGTGCCCAGCGACCCGTAGCGCCTTGTCGCCGCGGTGAACCACATCCAGTTTGCGACTCCCCGGAAGGCCTCGCTGGGATCAGTCATGCCTGGACCATGAGGGCCCTCTGGTTTATCTGACCTGGCCAACGGCATCTGCATATCGTCCAATACAAGTTCCCCTGATGGGGGATCTTCCAACTGAGGGGTCGATATGTTGATGTTTGAGAGAAGTTTGAGGGATGGCGACTCGAAATTGCACCATATGAGCTCGAAACCTGCATTCATCCGTACAATGGCCTCAATACCCCATCCGAGGCCACCCAAGTTGTGTTCCTCGATCCAGCTACAGAGTCCTTTGGCTCGGAAATACTCGTCATCAAGCGGATTCCACTCTTCAGCTCTGTCTTCATCATTCAAAATACTCGGTGGTCTGTTTGGTGGCCTCGGCGGTCTCCCTGGAGGGCCGTGCGGGTGCTTGGGCACACTGTCACTGTCGCCATAGAGAAACGTCATCTGAGACTCAACCCCGTTGCTCATCAAATTTGCCGACATCCCATCGAAATACAAAAATCCGACCTTGCGTTCAGTGCGGTAAGTTAGGAGACGGGAGTCAGGCAAAGAGCCCATGATGCCATATGCCATTTCTGAATCAAAGGCAAGCCACTCGGGACTTGAGGGCATATCATTGTCATGCCTACCATGATACAGTAAGGAATGCGGCGCAACGGTTCCAGCTGCGATCGCGTGGCCATTGGGGAAAAACGTATTTGGCCATTGGTGGAGTAGGCTCGCAACAGTGGAAAAGACGTACGGAGCTGACGAAGAGAAATTGAGGTAAAAAGAGGCTTCGGCCGACACTGGCAGAGAGACGTCGAACGCCAGCGCGATATACGCCACGAGCGTTCTGGGTCGCATTAGTCTGGGAAGCAGAACACCAGGAACTATATTGGATGATTTTGATGGTTATTAGCAGCTCATGAGGAGATTTGGAAATCAGAGTGCGTGCTCGAACGTAGAGAAATCGGTATCTTCACTTGGTTCGATAATGAGGGGCCGCGTCACCGGTCATCTGGCCGATTCATTGGTCGGATGAAACACCCCTGCATGAGAGTCAACATCATTGAGTGGTAGGTTGTATTTGAGGCCCTTCGATTCTTTACGGAACAACAAACATTATATAGACTGTTCCATCTAGGCCGCGAATGGCCCATCCCCTGTGAACTTCAATGTCTCCTGCGACAGATTCTTCTCAAAGGCGACACTTGATCCTAATCCAGCCTTGATAACCGCAGGTAGCCGAGCTTGAAGCACTGGCTTGGTAAGAGAAACCTGGCCCGCATCATAACCTTCGCGCCACTGCTCCATCGTAGGGAATCCCGAGTTCTTGTTGATTAATTTCTTCGTGACGGCTATAACATCGTGGTCCCAGCCGGCCACGCGGCGAGCAAAAGTATCAACGAAGCTCTCGAATTGGTGATCCGGGATCGCTCGATTGATCCCTACAGCCGGTGAACAAATTTTAGCGCAGATAAAGATCAGGAAGGGAAATTGTGACATACACCCATACAGTGCGGCCGTATCAGCGTCAATATCATCGGCCCCAATGGCAACCTCCAGTGCTCTTGACCGACCCAACAACATGGGCAATAGTGCCATGCCCGAGCTTGGTGTTAACCCTACTCACAGAAACGCGTGGTCAGCAAGTTTCCCTGTGTTCTTACCATGGGCCTTCTACTTACCAAAGCCAACCTCGATTTGATTAAAAACAGCCTTTTTCTTGCTTCCAAACCTAACGTCCAACAAAGAGGCAAGCTCCACGCCAGCTCCCCGGGTGATTCCACGAATGGAAGCCACTGTAAGCAATGGCAGGTTGCTAAGACGAGTTACATTACCCCACCAGACTTCAGAGGACAATTCTGCCGGGGCAGGATTGGCTATATCGATGCGCGAGACCCAAAAGTCTGGAACCTCGGAGTCAAAGACTACAACCTTAACATCTTGGTCATTTTCGAGCTGATCGACGAGCGCATAGAAGTCAAGGTAGAAGTTGGCATTCAGTAGATTGAATGGGGGGCTTGAAAAAGTTGCTCGCCAATATGAGGGAGTAACCTTTGTGACACGGATAAATCCTGTTGAGGTTGCTTGGACAGTAGCCAACGCTGATACCGCTAGGGCGAAGATGAGGGGGATAAGGCTAGGATGCTGCATGTTGGCAAGGAGGTTGTATTTTCAGATAGTTCCCAGGGGTAAAGCACGGTTATTGACGGGCGATGTGAACAATTATTTTATATTTTTCACCGTCGGCGGAGATAGGGAAAATCAGGTCACACAGATGGATTTAAAATCTCGAAATACTAGACGGCCTAAAAGCTCGACCGACGCCGCGCAAAGTAGCTGACAATAGTTGCCGCTTCTGGAAAGTGACGATTAGTTCTCACTCTCCAAGCTAGGATAGCCTGCCTCGTCTCTCAAGTTTACTTTGAGAATTTAGAAAAATGGATCTTTAAGCGAGAGAGCTCAACAAATGAAAGTCTCAGTTGGGATGTCGATGACGCTGTTGCCCTTGGCGAGCATGGTTCAGGAAATTTAGCAACCTTGAAGAGGGAAAAGAATTTTTACTGCTGACGAGCTGATGAGACCTGGTGATTGATTCTGACAGAAATACTGAGACTTCTTCGCTTGACCTCGCAAGAGACGTGAGAAGACGGGTCAGATAGGATCTCAATCTACAGCAAGTCAGCAATGAACCTAGACTGCTTTTCAAGGCGATACTCCATCGAACGTGGCTTCCCTAGAGCATCTGGCCTGGCATCCCAAGGCCGCGGGCCACTACTTGGTCGGTAGTTGACCCCAAGCGCGTCTAGCCTCTGGAAATGTGCCTCGAGGCGGTCTTTGAAACTCTCAGTCTCCATGTTCGAAGGCGGTTTGCCCCATGCTACTTCAGCCATGGCACACAGCCTTGGGTAGGCCATGTAGTCTACCCGGCGAGCGCTCTCCATATGCTCCGTCCAAATGTTTGCCTGGCACCCCACGACTCTCTTCTTCTCGTCCTCGGTCAAACCCTCGGGGACTGGCTCAAATGCATACACAACATCAACCGAGAGCACTGTCCCTACTGGTGTAGGCTCATCTTCGTGTTCGGATTGGCGGAAGTCTAGATATGCCGCCATGTCCGGGCATGCGATCACCTCGAATCCGCGCTGGGCTGCAATCATTATCGGGTCATAACCTCTCCAGGCCCCTATCAGTACATCGGCGGGTGTCCGTTCCCCTCCGGCCAGGATTTCATCCCAACCAAATGCTCGGCGAGAACGAGAACGTAAATGGTCTGCCATTTGCGCAACGAACCATCCGTGTAATGCGCTCTCGTTTGGGAGGCCCAACTCCCTCATCCGGGCTTGCACAGCAGGACTTGCCTTCCACTCGTCGTGAGGGCATTCGTCCCCTCCGATACCTACAAACTCCCCGGGGAATATGTCGCAGACCGTGTCAAGCACATCTTTGCAGAAATCCAGGACTTGGTCCGACATGTTAAGCACGTGTTTAGAGATACCCCATTCTTCCATTACGTCAACCTTTGCTCCGTTCCCAAGCTCTGGATACGCAGATATGGCCGCTTGCATGTGTCCAGGCATATCGACCTCGGGTACCACGGTGATGTGCCTCTCAGCCGCAAACGCCACTATCTCCTGCAAGTCTCTCTTAGAGTAAAAGCCACCATGCGGTCGTGCGTCATATTTATCGTGGATTGTCGAGCCCAGCATCGTCCTCTTCCGCCAGCACCCGACCACCGTGAGCTGCGGCCACTTGTCGACCGGGACTCGCCACCCTTGGTCGTCCGTCAGGTGCAGATGCAGCACGTTGAGTTTGTGGAATGCGGCCAGGTCAATGAAGCGCAGCACGTCGGGCAAGGGCATGAAGTGCCGGGCGGTGTCCAGCATGACGCCGCGCCAGGCGAAGCGAGGAGAATCCTCTATCAACTGCGCTTGGACCGGCCATGGCCCTTGGCGGGCGCCATCAGTGTGACGCAGCAGTGAAGGTGGCAACAGCTGCTTCCAGGTCTGCTTGCCATAGAATAGTCCTGCAGCAGAGCCGCCCGTGATGTGTACGGCCCCGTCCTTGGGGCTGCTTATATCGAGCTTATAACCTTCGCTTGGAAGCGTCGAGTCGATGGACGTAGTGGGCTCTAGGTTTGACGCCTGGATAACGCCCTGCCCCTTGGTGATTGACTTCGGATGTGGGATCATATCGGCAATTCCAACTCAGGCGTTACAAATTGAAGTTATTTTTTGGCTCCAGAGAGAGAAATTTATTCTCATATTGATGCTTGATGAAGAAAAAGCTTTTGGTTGATCCTAACGGTTTTTGCCTAAGAATGCTGACGTGAGGCGACCAAGTGCTGCTGCCTGAGCGGGGTAGCCATTAAGCAATATGAGGATGCCTTAATTTGTGGCATATGACGTGGCAGGCTAAACCTTGGCATAATGTGGGAATGGGAAGAATGACAAAAATTAATGGGTGAGATTCATGGAGAAGAAAGGTGTGAAAAGGATTTCGTGAAGTGAAAATATGCTTCATTGGGTAGCTCATTCATTAGGCTGTCATAGTAAGAAGACAAAAATAAGATGTTAAAGTTATTACTATTATTAGTACGGAGTAGTAATAAGTTAACATGGGAGTGAGGAAGAAGAAAAGCAGGGGGAGGGAACCTTCGGAAATATTTTACTTTTTGGGGGCCACGTGCGATACAGCCAGCTCGACATACATAGTTGTAAAAAAGCCAAGGACCATCCTGAAGGCTTCATAGAACTTGAAGCTCCGTGCTCAAACAATATGAACTTCGCAGCTGCAGTCACTAGGCGGGGGTACTTGTTATGTTGTGTTCTTGTCGTGGGCAAGGGAGATGATATCAAAAGATCAGGGTTCACACGATCGTATTACACAAAGTTTTTCCTGAAGGCAAATTGTGGCCAATACCAGAACCTAACGCAGAAAGACAGATCATCAGAATTTTCAACACCATGCAGACCGGGCACAGGCATCGCCGCCACCAAAACTCTAATAATGGCCAGGCCAATATATAACTCGGCCATGGACCCCGGTACAGATCGTACATGAGTTCTTCCAAGACTAAAGTCTCATCCTCAATTCTTCCAAGACTAAGTTCCCCTTTCCTCTTGTCTTCTTACGTCCAAACGAACCGACAATGAAGGTCTCCACGGTCCTCGCATTCGCTGCTGGCGCTCTCGCTATGCCTACTGAGAAACAATGGGACAACAGGAACTTTGCCATTACCGACGATTACCTCTTCAAGCTGACCCTACCTGAATTTTCAGCCAAGCGCGAGGCCAAGGACCCTGCCTCTCTGATCTGGACCAGCGATGGCTGCACTGCTGCCCCGGCCAATCCCTTCAACTTCGACTTTACGGTAAGGACTTGAAGTTGCCCTCCCCTCAACTTACGTGGAGGGGCTCTATTCAAGGCACCAATAGAGTCTGGGCTAAAATAATCCAACAACCAGCCCGCCTGCCAACGTCATGACTTTGGCTACGCAAACTACCGAGGACAGAGCCGCTTCGACCCACGTGAAGAAAAAAAGATTGACGAACAATTATTAGTCGAGTAAGTTCCCAACATTCCCCTCCTCAATAAGATGCACCTCACGCCTCTCCCCCAACGACACGCACACGCGCAATCCGAGAAGGAAAAAAAGAACGTCTTGCTCATGCTTTGTAGTCTGAGACACCAGTGTGAGAAGGAGGAGGAATCGAGACGGGCCGGTTGCCTCACTCTTGCAGAGGCGTACTACTTTTCCTATCGCACAAAGACCTTTCGCGATGCTAAAAAACACAAAAGCCGTCCACGGCCTGGAGTAGGAGGAGGATGTGCGACGCCGCATTCATGAGTTTGACCAAGGTCATGGCAGAGGACAATCTTTAGGGGCAAGTAAAAGGCTATTCAACATCGCACACCAAGCGAAGCCTGAGTACCTAGCTAGCCATGTAACCGAGAATGCTACGGGTCAGCGTGCCCATATTTTATTTATCTTGCCGTTACTCTGTCTTGAGTGAAGATGTGTGAAAAATGTGTACTCAGCCTTCAGCGCAGTCTACCCAAGATCTACGCGTATTCAGAACTCTTTAAACGTCCGGTTTCATTTGGCAATAGAATCCCGTTGGTGATGTTTTTGTTGGCATACTTTGAGGGATGATTTTGCATTCTCGATACGCACTTGGTCTGAGTGGACAGTAAAGGAAGAAACTGTGGAGCTGGTTAGAATGCTTACATCAGCAAGCAGAAACAATTGAACACGACCTTGACGCGCACAGACGCGTTTTCCATTGCCGAGCTTCACTCTAAGCCAATTACCCTGTACCATCACCACATGCAGTGTCCAGTAACAGATATCTCTATGTTTAAAATACTCTTGATTATCATTAGGTTATTAAATCCTTATTAATGTACCTACAGTTCATTCTCTTTAATTTTACAAGGAAGGGGATTTTTTAAATTGAATTTATTACAGCGGATGATGACACTTAAGCTTTTGTTCGTGCTTTTTGTCTAGTATACAACATCTCATTGCTTGAGGAGAAAATGAAGAGAAGGACCGAGAAAAATAAAAATTCCAGTCGCTCGTAATCGGGACATGCGTAGATTATCAGAGATGCTTTCCTAACAAGTTGTTGCTACACCTTGCCTCAAGTGAAATTATACCGCAAAGGCGAATAAAAGTCGGGTTCCCGACGCGATCCGGTTTAACCCAGAGATTTCAAGCCACGCACGGCCACACACACTCTACAGTCAATTGAACATCAATATCAAGCCAGTATCATCATTTGGTCATCTCTATATCTCTGCGTACGCCGCTGCTCCAGCCATTCAGGTACCAATGGTTGGACTCAACGGCCTCGAAAATGCGAACATAGTAGTTGAGCGCTTCCATGGCGGGAACCTCGCGTGTGCAAAGGGAATTGAAAAATTCGTGGCTCCAGTATGTGGCCCACATGTTGACGACTCGCAACTCTGAATCGTAGCCTTTTAAGTTCGCGAACTTGATGCACGTTATCAGCGAATGTGCTCCGAAGTGAGGACTGTTGGACGCGGCGAATTCTTCAAGCTCACGCAAAACTGTTGAAAGCAGAGGCGATTCAGAGTCGTGAGAACCGAGATCCAGTAGCTGTCCCAAGGGCCCTCTGAAAATGTAATCTTCCCAACTGTTTAGGATTCTATGTACCCCACGGACAAGCGAGAAGACTTCAATCAAACTGTCTAGAGTGGGTGGCCCCAGGTCTTGGGCCATGCCTGTGGAGTGTGAAGCAAAGGCACTGATGGTCAGGATCGACGCGGTTGCGAATATTGCGTGGCAGTTGTTCTCATTGATGTTGGCGACTGCGGTCCTCAAACCCTGGATAGCGCTGTCTTGGTGCTGCGAGGCTCGCACGGCATGGCGCACATGGTCGTCGGGATACAGGAAGGCCATGTGGTACGCTGCCACGGCAAGAAGCTGGTGAAGGACGAACTCGTTGCCTTGCTCCAGCGCCAGTCGCGGCAGGGCGACCTGCCAGATCTCTTGGCGACCGGGTCCTTTGGGGAGCGTGTTCCAGGTGACGGAGGTCAGATGGTGCATCAGCTCCAGATCGACGCGCCATTGCACGACGTCGGGTTCTTGGCCATGCAGCTTGGCGGCAGAGCTGTCGAAGACGGAAAACGGATCGCTCTCCAACGGCGGCTGAGGGCTTTCCGAGGGTGACACCATGCTCAGATCCCCGCGCATCTCGCTCTGGGACCTGGACGCGACGAGGCTGCACTCGATGCCATGTCTCACACACGCTGAGCAGGGAAGCTGCTCGTCGCACTGCCGTCGACGAAGGGGTATTAATCGGGATTGGTTCATCACTGCCACGCTTTCGACTGCACGCTACTCACCTTGACGCGACGTTCTTTGCATTTGAGGCACCCATTCCGGGACTTGCGAAAGCCCAGGCGGGGAGGCATGTTTGATATGGTGATCGATCGTTAGCCACGGTCTACTACCCGCCTCGTAGGGAGCGTGCAGTTCAGTTCCATCGACGTGAGACGGATCCCGCCTGTCCCGAGAGCCTGCTGGTGTTGTGCCAAGTTTTCGGTAATCTGTCCCGGGAGGCTTAGGAAAGATGTCGTACTGCCGCTAACGCGTTTATTCGCCCCGCCCCCAATGGAATGGTCCAGTCAAGCTCCTGAATGAGTCGTGACTCGTGAGGTCGAAATGGCCTCAGGGCTTGAGCATCACCTCCTTTGTTCGACCAAGGTTTTGCATATATCGGCATCTCAATCCAGGGTTCACCACGAATATTTCAAAAGTGAAAGCGCGCATTGGGAATTGATAGATATATCATATCCATTGCTTGCGAACGGCCAGCCCCTCAGCACAGATACCCCTCACTGCCGTACTAGTTTGAATAGGATTGGCTCAGTGACCTCTCGGCATTTCAATCGACGTTTCTAATTACATGTTTTCCTTGGAGGGGTTTTAGGTGTGGCTGGCTCCATCGTACAGGGAGGAGCCGCGTCGGATTCAAAGGGCTCACAGCATCTATTTAACTTAATCCTAATTTGAAGGCCTTTTTATTTTATCTTGTGGAATTTGCCGACCAAATGGCCAAGCCTGGAATTCCTTGGAAGGACAACGTTGCCAATCCAGAACGGTCTGACCTTTTTCTAACAGCTCATTCCTCCTCCAGTCGTAGAGCTTCATCATCCACTTCTGTTCATGACCCGAAATCTCCCAAATCCTCTCGGTAAGGGGCGGTTCCGGAAGAGGTGGCCAGTCCAGGGGATCAGTCGCTTCCGTGTTCTTGGCGATTTGCGTCCCAGCCCGCCGCCTCTCGCTCCATGCCGCGAGCACCGCGCGGAACTCTGAGACCGGGTGGTCCAAGAGAACGTCGGGGTGCTTTGCCCATTCTTCTCCCTCAATGACAGAGACGTCCTGCCGTATATCACGATGACGATCATCGCGAGTGATGATCTCGTACATGGTGAAAATGACTCCCTTGACATCATTCCGGGCTTCATAATAGCCTCCTCGTCCAATGCGGGCGGAAAAATTGAAATCAAATATCATCAACGAATCAGAAGATTCATCTATGACGATATTCCGCGGTGCGACATCCTGATGAGCAACGCCAAACTTCAGATTCAGCTCATCCACAACAGCCAAGAGTTGATGGAGCCACTTGAGCTTGAAGCAGCGTGTTTTGTTCTCGTCCAAGGTACCGCCAGGAATGAAGACACTGGTGAAACCCACCAGGCGCCCCTCGATCTCATCCACAACGACACTGTCGAATGGCACAATGTTGGGGTGTTTAGGCAGACGCATCCAGAGGCTCATCTCGTGCCAGACAAAGCTATAGCTCGAAAACAAGAAGTAATACTTAAAAATAAGCTGTCGCGGCAAGGTCAGTCTGAAGATCGCAATTTTTTTGAATTTTGGACGCTTACCCGCTTGGTGGGCTCTGCCGATTGTGGGCACACAACCAAGTCGACGTGGGAGCTCAATCGATCCAGCTCCTCAAGGTCTAGACGGGAGACGATTTTTATGCCGTCTGGAATCTGGAGACTCTCCACGGGTGGGCGAAACACACATCTGGTTTCATCGTCTTTCGGGTCGGCTGAAGCAGAGATGAGGTCGCCGTCGGAGGTCACATGGATTGAGTAGACGTCTGGCGGAAGATGGTCGATGTATTTGAGAAGATGCTCGAACGCTGGATCCTCCGAATCGAGGTCTTCATCCATAACCACTGAGACTAGGCGGCGCTGATCCCAGTCGATGACGTGCCATGTGCTTGGGCCGCCTGGGATGATGTCGCCGCTCGGCGCAAAGAGCCTGTCGTCGTGATTGAGCATGCTGGTTTCGCGGGGGAAACGCTTTTCTAGAAGAGGAGAAAACAATGAGATGAGAAAAGAGGCATGGAACTGCTGTGCGCGTGGGAATTCATCAAATAGCGCGCGATGTGAGTGCTAACATAGCTCGTTTTGCTTCAGTAGAGAATTCATAGCCTTAATAGCGATTTCCAGATATTTTGGTTCCAAAATAATGTGTTTTTGCTAAAATCAACTATTTTACAGGCAGTTGAAGAAGAAGGGTAAGTCGCGATCGCGTCACGCCCAACACGCGGTCGCGTTACGGGTGGTCGCAAACGCATGTCCACTAGCAGGTAGGTATAGAAAATAGAGACGATTGCTTTTGAGGATAACATCAAAGTTTTACAGAACTTCAGGATGAGATTCATTAAGGGATTTTAAGCTCCGAAAACCACTGCGCCACGGGCAGAATCCCAGAAAGTCAACAGATCTTCCTCCAAGGTGAAAACGCTAGTGCGATGCGGCAAAAGGGCACATTAATAGGCAGGCGATTCATCCCCAAGGCCACACAGACTCACTCTCGAAGACAGGCAAGATGACCAGAAAGACATTTCATTGCCCAAGGTCAGCAGGCACATTTCCACCACCCTATTTCCCGCAGCAACGCCGGAAGAGGGATGCTGTCGGGGTATTTACCGACCCCGCACCAAGTCCGGAGTGCGGCCTCGGTGTTTTGCCCGATTAGCTGGAACGAGCCCATTCCCAAGCCCATTGCCGCATGGACGAGTGAATATTTGACGGGAGAAGAATGTCCCAAGCTGCCCAGCTAGTTAAATGGTCTGACCCCTGAGATAATTCATCACCCTACCCACTGTCATCCATAACCTGACCCCAGCATAATGACAATGGCGGACTCAGTTCGTGACCTGAAATCAACCCTCGCCTCCCTTCCACCAGTAGAGGCCAAAGATCTTCGAGCCAAAACCCAAACCGCTATCCGCTCTGGAGCCCTTAAAGTGCCCCTCCTTGTCGTTCTTGACGATGACCCTACCGGTGAGTACGAAAGAATGTTGGCAGAGCAAGCATCTCCCCCAATGAGTGCGGGTTGTTGACAGCTTTTGCGCTTCCAGGCACGCAGACTTGCCACGACATCATCATCCTTACTGCCTGGGACACACAGCGGCTCATTGAGGAATTCCGGGCTACACCAGCGGGCTCGGGTTTCTTCATCCTCACCAACTCTCGCGCCTTGCACCCGCCCCAGGCGAGGGCGCTCATCACTGAGATATGCCAGAACCTTCAGGCCGCCAGTAAGGAGACAGGGATCGAATTTGAAGTTGTTCTGAGGAGCGACTCCACCTTGCGAGGCCATTTCCCACTCGAGGCCGAGGCTGCAGAGGCGGTGCTCGGAAAAGCGGATGCCATCATCCTCTGCCCTTTCTTCCTCCAGGGCGGTAGATACACAATTGACGATGTGCATTATGTCCAAGAGGGGGACAGGCTTCTGCCCGCGGCGCAAACGCCTTTCGCTAAAGATGCAACCTTTGGGTATCAGAGCTCCAACTTGAGAGATTACGTAGTGGAGAAGGGCAAGGGATCCATTCAAAGGGATGATGTGACATCCATAAGCCTGGAGACGATCCGTGTTGGTGGTACGGACGCAGTTCTGAAGCAGCTGCTCGAGGCGACCAGCGACCCCTCCAGGAAACCAGTGATTGTTTTAAATGCCGCTGCCGAGGAAGACATGGATGTCGCCATAGAGGCGCTGCTTCAAGCCTCAAGCTCGGGAAAGAGGTTCCTGTTTAGGACAGGCGCTGCGTTCGTCTCCGCGAGATTGGCGATTGAGGGTATCCCGCCCATTTCTGCCACCACTCTGGGACTCTCAAGCAAGGTTGGGGGGTTGGTTATCGCTGGGTCGTATGTGCCCAAGACCACAGCCCAGCTTGAGTCGCTCCGAAACCGCAGCGGTGACGAGCTCACATCAGTCATTCTCGAGGTTCGAAATCTGCTCGAGTCGCCCGAGAATGCCACCAAGGCGGTGTCGGATGCTCTGAAGATCGCAGAGGCGGAGATTGCAAAGGGCCAGGACGTACTGGTCATGACGAGCCGAGAGCTCATCGTGGGCACTGACGAGGCTAAAAGTCTTGACATCGGCTCCGTCGTTGCCAAAGCATTGGTGGACTTCCTGGAGAGACTTGAGCAAAAGCCGAGATATGTCATTGCTAAGGGAGGAATCACCTCATCAGATATGGCTACCAAGGGTTTGAGATTCAAGCGCGCGGCTATCGTAGGACAGGCCGCGCCGGGCGTTCCGTTATGGCGATGCGACGAGCCATCTGCTAAATGGCCCGGTTTGCCGTACGTTGTCTTCCCGGGCAATGTTGGAACAAATGATACCCTCTTCGAAGTGGTTAATGGCTGGCGGGTTTAGTTTATACAAATATAGCTGGATAACAGAAAAAACTTTTGAGAATTATGTATGCTACCCTTCACACTCTAAGTGAAATGGCTTGTGAGAAGATTATATACATCGTTGGAAGTGTCCGTCCCAAACGCCTCATACAGCAAGCTATCATTCATGAAGCTCGACCCGTTACCGAAGAAGTTTTCACCAGACGCTGACTGTACCTCCCATCCCGGCGTCACCAGCTGCGCGCCTTGCACAGCCGCGCCGAAGCCAGAGCTGATCAAGGGGGTGCTGTAGCCCGGCGCGCTCATATCCGGCATGCCAGCCTCGGCATCAGCACTGTGCTCTGGCACCTGTCGATGTTCCTCCACACTGGTGGCTTCCGCCGTCATCTTGCCCAGCATCTTCTCCAAGCCGGCAGCTATGTGGTGTAGCACATGCCGGTCTGAGGTCACGGACCTCTTTAGCAGGTCGATCATCTTCTCCATCAACCTCGATACATTCGTGTAGCTGTGCTCAATGTTGAAGCCCATGATCCTGTTCCATTTGGTGGCCACTTTCATCAAGAAAACGCAGGCAAAGGCAATCATCATATGGACATATAACGGCGTGCCCACAAGCGCCCGTCTCAAGTCATCTTCCTCGAGCACGAATGTCAGAATGCTTGCAGCAGCGGAGATGGCCATATTGGTGAGCTCCTTTCTCTCAGTGGAGAGGCGGCCGCTATTCAGGCTCACGCCACGGACAGCGAGTATGTTGAGCTGCAGCTTGGCGAAGTAGCTGTACAGAATAATCCCCTTTGGCGGAAATGTGCCGATGAAGTTGTTTGCCCGCTGGCGCGAATACCACAGCATCCGCCACTGCTCAATCTCCACGTTGAAGTTTCGCACATCGACGAAGTCCTCCTCAGTGAGCATGGTTGAGGATGATTCGTTTGCTGGGTTCGCGTCGTTGGCTGCACCGCCGCGTCCCATGCGGATTGTATTTCGATCTGGGAGACGGCGTTCGCCAAACCGGTCAAAAACCCGCGTGAGAATCTGCATTAGCGCAACCTGGGACAGTATCCTAGCGTCAATGGCGTCGGCCAGGGGCGAGGTGAGAAACAATTCGTGTTCTCGGATCTGAATGGACTCTGCGATCATCGGGGGCCGGCCGTAGGCTATTGAAAAATGGTGATCACAGACGTAGAGCATGTACCACAGCCGAGCTCTCTGAAAGTGTTCGGGATCTCCTTCGAGAGCCTTCGCAAAGCTCTGGTGAACATTGAGTTCAGTTGCGATGCGGATGGCGTGGCCCGATAATTTCCATGATACATCCGACAGCCAGAATGCCGCGATGCATAAGCCCCTGACGTCGTCGATTGAATGGTATCGAGAAAACATGGAAGATGCGATAAGGGCCAGGAATTCTCTGTAACATTTATCGAATGTTTCGGCACTGGTTGGAAGGTGTAAGGCTGTAACGGCGAGTATCGTGGCGGTCAGGAGCTCCGACGACTTGCGGACGGAATAGAACGAAGGATGTGTCTGTTCAAGACCGACCCAGAGATAGTGATTGAGAGACATATGAAAGCTGCCGGATTACAGTTAGTCAGTGAAAGAGCAGAGCCTGGAGATGGAGCCAGCCACTCACGAGTTATACAATTCCTCGGCCTCGTGCTCAGAGATGACTCCCCTGGAGATGAAATCGTTTAGCTCCCCCAGCCCCCCAGACAGTGGCCTCGCAGTGTTGGCTTTGTTGCTCCGGATATTCCTTAAGCGTGTGACTTCGTAGAGACTTCCCATGGGCTCTTCCACAGTCACAGCTGCGTTCATGGGGTCTGGCTCCAGTGAATTTTCTCTAGTCATGGCCATCTGAGTATTGTCTTCTCTGGTGCTGGATAAGCCCGCAGGGCTTGTTGTTGTACTGCATGGAGTTCCGGTCGGTACGTTGTGTGCCGCGAGACTGGCTTCGAAACTGACGTTTGGTGGTCTCTTTTCTGCCAATATTGAATTTATACTCTGTCTCATCAGTCTCATCTCTTCTCTCATGAGGTCGAATTTTTTCCTGACGATGAGTTAGTGAGGAAGTCTCTCTATCATGAATGGAATTGACCGTACTCATAAGGGTCTTCTAGTGCCGAAGTATCCTCCTCGAGATCAACTTCGATGAACCTGGTTGTTTTGAAAATGCAATCCACTTTACGTCTCAAGCAATGCTTGCAATTCCGGTCACCCGGAAACACCTCGCACTTCATCTTGAGTTTCTTACACGCCAGACCTTGATGATACTGTCAGCAGAGTATTCCAACCTCAGCACTTCCTCCAGAACCCGCTCACAGGCTTTTGATTTGCGGCCCGGTCCACCACTGCCAACGGCCGGATGGCGACGGGCCTTTGACGTCTTTGCGGGAGTAACATCCTCGCTGTCTGGCTGTGCCTTAGTCTCTGGCACTTCTTTTTGCACCGTGTCGTCTTCCAGATTCGATCTCATTGTAGTATTTCTAAGCGCGAGACTGTGCAGTGCTGTAGGGAGGAAAGGTTTTCTGGACTGGCACCGGGAAATCGGCAAATGCTCGTCTTTTAATTCCCTGCCCCTCCTCTTTGCTGCAAGCGCTAGTGGGTCATCAGACTGGTCATGCGGGGGGACGGGGCTG